TTTTTTTTTTTTTTTTTTTGGGTTTTGGTTATTGTGATTGTTGATTTGCGTTTTTGTGATCTGAAGTAAGCTTATTAATGTGGCTGTCCCGGGGACGATTGATGAGCGGGCGATCAATACAAAGAGAGTGTTGAATCCTTGGGAGAAGAATGAGAATCATACTTTGTGTTTGAATTCAGCGAAGGCAATCGGGTGTACTGTGGTTAATATTGGGACACAGGATCTTGCTGAAGGGAGAGTGAGTATTGTTTTGGTTGAAAATTGTTGGTTGATGCTTTGTTAAATGTGAGTAATTTAATTACTAAAATCAGAGAAAGTATATCCAAAGGTTCACCAAGTAGCATTATTTTAGGAGGTATAATCATTTCTCTGTTTAAATTCTAATCACAACCTGAGTTGTGCAGTGATATGATGTTCACTATGTTATATAAGATGTCATATTTCCTGGGGGAACCTATTGTTTCATCTTAATTGTGTTATGTATGGGAAATTTGAAGGTGTATATCATCTTGCTATATGCTTCAAAAAATAACTTATTTGGACTTGGCACATATATGGAATAAATACTACACTTTTGTCAAGACTAACATTCTTCTGGTTTATGCTTTCAGCCTCATCTTGTGCTTGGGTTGATATCTCAAATCATTAAGGTATGCTTATATGCTTTTCACGACTACAGGAGCAGATTATTCTGGCCATTACCATATCTTTTTCCTTATAGAATCTGGATTAAAATTACTAACTCCATTTCTTCCTCTTTCAGATTCAACTTCTGGCAGATGTTAACCTGAAGAAAACGCCACAACTAGTTGAGTTGGTTGGAGATGGCAAGGTTGGTCAATTTTCCCTTTGATACTCATTGCATGCACTTTTGAAACTTCAAAATGTGATTCTTAAAGTTCTATCACGTGAGCATCCTATATGTGTGCTTTGCTAAAATCTTTTTGATCTGCAGGATGTTGAGGAGCTGCTGAGTCTACCACCTGAAAAGATTTTACTTCGATGGATGAACTTTCAGCTAAAGAAAGGTAGCTTTAAGAGAACTGTGACAAATTTCTCATCAGATGTGAAGGTGCGTCTATAAAATAAGCTATCAAGATGCTTATGTATTTCTATTAGTAATTTGTCTTAAACCTGCATTATAGGCCTAATGTTATTTCTTCCATAATGAAATTCTATTTCTTCGAGTTACCTGCTGATATTTTGTCGAGGACAAAATTGGCAAAACCAAAATTCTTCATTAGCAATGAAGAAGCTGCAGCCGAAGAAAAGGATTAAGTAGTGGAGTTATCTATATTCACAAATGATGTGGAATCTGGCGTTACAGGAAAACACCACTTTGCATCTTCTTTAAGTGCACAAAATCAAATAAAACTGTATATTGCTTGTATTCATTATGCTTCTTTGGAAGTTGAAAGTATTGACACTGAACGCAATATCATGTGTGCAATGAACTTTATGTGGTGCCACCAGCTGTAGATGATGAAGATGGGGTGCACAATTCCCTTAAACTTCGTCTAGACATACGTCTTCTGCAGATAAAGTTTAAGGTAGCTCACAGAATGACTAATAATTGTGGTAAGTTATGTCGTAATGATACTATCTACACACATATACACCCATTCATTCATCTCTTATGACAAGTTGATGGCTATCCAAGAGCTTTTCCTCTTGAAGAAAAAAGAAACGAAAATTTTCCGTTCAAGAGATGATGATTGAATTGAAGTATGCTTTTATCTTCTTCTAACTTTAGTTTAGACTTCAAATTCTATAATGAATCCTGTATTCTCTTCTCCTAGCTGTTATAAGTGAAGAGAGAACAGAAGGTTGGGAGAAAACTCCTTCCACGCTGTATTGAGGCAATATAAGCTAATGTATGTACACATTATAGAAGTATTACAAGGTTAGGTCACGTGATGTACAAATAACATTCCTAATAATAAATCTTAGTAGCTGCTTACAATGACTAAATGCACCTATTCTTAAGCTAAATTTATATTTAGTTTTATTTGTCTTTTTATGCTAGTTTATTGCTGTAACTAACACAATCTTCTATCTGGGCTCCACATTGCTAACTCATGGAAATATTATACATACTGATTGGACACTCTTCTTGCTGCAGGACGCCGAGGCATACACTTATCTGCTAAATGTTCTGGCACCTGAGCATAGCGACAAGCAATCTGCAAAAACTGTCACCAATCCTCTTCAAAGAGCCGGATTGGTTCTTGAACATGCAGATAGAATGGGCTGCAGAAGATATTTGACCCCAAAGGACATTGTTGATGGTTCACCAAATTTAAATCTTGCTTTTGTTGCACATATTTTTCAGAAAAGGTAAAATATAGTACCTCAGACTGTCAATTATTTCCAGTACTTAAATACAATATTATTCAAAGGCTAGTATTACCTTTGGTGAATATATATTTAGAGACATTAAAAACTGCATTAGCCCCTGTTAGCAATGAAACCTAAGTTTTAGCAGTTGTAATGCACCCAAAATCTTGACATGGTTATCTGATCATCTATTTGTTGGAAATTTATCAAATAATTAAGATTATAGCATGCAGATAAATCCGAAAAATTAAACAATTAAAACTGGCCTGAACGGGAGCAGTCGTGTATTCACTGCCCTAGAAGATTGAGAACCCGCCTATCGCCCTGGCGCAGATGGTTCCCTCCCCCTAGCGGTAAAAACCCCCGGAAACGGCCGGCCTCTACACTCGGGCGAGAGTGCAGAGCTTCAGCTCAGATGAAGGAAGTTGCCCATAAAATAAAACTAAGATGTAGATGAAAATAATATGTAGGGGAGAGAAGAAAAACAAGAGAAACTTGTTGTATATTTTCCTTTCTTATCATTTTGAGCTTAACATATGGATATATATATAGGGTTGGAAAAGACGTTACAAAACCCGTAATTAATTCTGTAACGTTCATCATAAATTTTGTAACGTTCCCCATAATTATATATCCGTTATACATATTTTAATTGCATGTTTTAATTATAATATTTATTATAATTCATGAAGACAAAATTGCCTTTTGTTAACAAAATATCTAACAGGTCCTCCATCATGATTTCAGCTCATGATTAGACATGTCAGCTCCTAAAATCCTACTTTTACCCTTTCTCTTTCTCACGCCAGCTCATGTTAACGGTTATAGATAACATGTTAACTACTATAATTTCATAAATATGTTTTGAGCTCAATGTGTGAACTGTAATAGTTAACATGTTACCTATAATAGTTAACATGTTAACTATAATAGTTAACATGTTAACTATAATTGTTAACATGTTAACTATAATAGTTAACATGAGACACGAAGTTCCTCGGGACAGCGCCGACGGAGCGGGGGAGGGTTGGAGGAGGTTGCATTGGAACTTGGGGAGAGGGGCATGGACATAAAATTTTTTAAATTATAGGGGTTGCTGCACATTGGGGGAAGTTGTTGGGGGGGCACATTGAAACTTGAATTTTGGGACCTTGAAGCAATTTTTCCTATTTATAAACATACATTTAAATAACTCTTCACATGGATGAACTATGGTCTGATTATGCCCAACAAGATGATCATTAGTTATTTAAATACAGAAACTAAAATAATAATGCACAAGAGGATAAAATCGGAATTTTGGAGGAGGTTGCATTGGAACTTGGGGAGAGGGGCATGGACATAAAATTTTTTAAATTATAGGGGTTGCTGCACATTGGGGGAAGTTGTTGGGGGGGCACATTGAAACTTGAATTTTGGGACCTTGAAGCAATTTTTCCTATTTATAAACATACATTTAAATAACTCTTCACATGGATGAACTATGGTCTGATTATGCCCAACAAGATGATCATTAGTTATTTAAATACAGAAACTAAAATAATAATGCACAATAAAATTATAAATACAATAATGCCATTTCTAAATAAGATATCGAAATCGACATGGAGCAATTTTTCCATGTTATTTTCTTATTAGTAATTTGATATAATTTTATAGCAAAAATCAATATAAAAAAAACCAAAGTTGACATTTCATAAGTATATAAAAAATACAACAATTATTTGCGGACTAATATCTGAAGTTTATGTTAATACTTAATCTAGGCTGGGTTAATCGTTGGATTTGAGTATATCTGCATATAATTCAATTAGATCTTTCTTTTAAGCATTTTCTTAATTAATAGATATAAGATTAAGTCTAAGGGTTGGTTTATCAACATCTCATCGAATCGGTTTCGGCCTAAACCAAGTTATTTCCGGACTACCTCCCCTTGGTCGACAACTAAATTAACGGCAAAATTTTGAACAAAAAGAAGCTGATTAAATTCGGGCTCTCGTCAAACAAAACTTTAATCCTTAAACCAGTTTTGGTCCTTAATCTGATTAGTGGGGGAGAGTTACCCGACAGACCCCAAAAGTTCAAACCCGTGTCCTACTGAATTATTGGAACGATCATTGTGTTATTCTTAATTATGGGGTGACTTTGAGGCCTCCTCGCGTCCATCGTCACTCTCTTAACCATTGAAAATGGTTAAGAGAGATTTGTTCCTTGTCGTCAACTTGAACACGTGCAAATTAATGATGTCTGCACACTCGTCATCATCTCTTGGCTAAACCATTAATAAAAATGGTTGCATATATTACGAAAATCTACTTCACGCATCCTTTTTTTTCCTTTTCCAAAACATGAAAATAGTTTACCATTAAAATTTTCAAAATCTGCAACCTGCATCCTGTAGAATTGGCGAAAACATTAGAGAAGATCAGTAAAAATGGAGCAGACAAACATTTGGGTGCTTTCCAGTCGACCGCGAGCTTTGGCGCGGTCGACCGCAAACGTGCACGACTATATGGTGTGTTTCTGCACTCTGGTCGGTTAACCGCCACGATCGACCACCAAAACCCTGTAATTAATTTTGGTTTCTGTCTTTCTGGTCGGTCGGTTGCGACGATTTCGGCGGTCGACCGCCAAATGGAGCAGACAAACATTTGGGTGCTTTCCAGTCGACCGCGAGCTTTGGCGCGGTCGACCGCAAACGTGCACGACTATATGGTGTGTTTCTGCACTCTGGTCGGTTAACCGCCACGATCGACCACCAAAACCCTGTAATTAATTTTGGTTTCTGTCTTTCTGGTCGGTCGGTTGCGACGATTTCGGCGGTCGCCCGCCAGTCAGGTTTGGGCCTCATTACGGTTTCATGTTCTGATTTGGTTTATGTTTTGATATATATATTGAAACACGTTTTAGGGTTTTGAGGAGAGCAGTATTAGGGATATTTGGAGCACAGAAAAGAGCATTTTCTGGAGCTATTGGTTAGGGTTTTGTTTGAGAGGTTGAGAGCTTTGTGTGAGAGATTAGTTTATGGATTTGTAATCTCTATATATTCTCCTTCTCTATTAGTGAAAACTCATCCCCTTCTTGCCCCGTGGACGTAGGTAACTTGCCAAACCACGAAAAATTCGTTTGTTTTTGTTCGTGTCGTTATTTTGGATCGTTTTGCTTTCTCTCTTGGCATTGGTATTTATTCTCGACACCCCCATCGGTTTTGACCGCGACGCACAACAAGTGGTATCAGAGATTTGGTTACACTTAGGCTAGGTGGAGGAATAGATCGCTTTGGAAGCTCGTCTAGGATTTCAGTTGGTGATAAAGGTGGGATTTTACTATTGTAGATCTTATTTTCGTCGTGTGGGGTTGAGATCTTTCGGAGGCTCTTATTAGGGTTTCACTTGGAGGTACAAAAGTCACTCTTTTTCAGTTTGGATCTATTCTTCGTTTGTTCCACATTGGTTTGGTGGTTCTTTGAGGAAGATGGCCGAGAAAGAAAAAGTTGTGGAGGGTACTTCTGGTGTGAAGACCGTCCAAAGTTTAAATATTCACTCTATGAAGATAAACGTGGAGAAGTTTAATGGCACTAACAATTTTGGTCTTTCGAGATGTAAAGACTTAGATGCGCTCATCGTGTAAAATTTGGAAGGCACTTTGGAGTTGGACGGGAAACCGGACAACATTGAGGAGGATGTTTGGAAGAAGATGAATCGAACGGCATGTGTTGTGATTGGGTCTTGTTTAACACAAGATTTGAAATATAATGTGATCAATGAGACTTCGACAAAGAAGATTTGGGAGATCCTAGAGGGCAAGTATTTGACAAAGAGTGTGAAAAACCACTTGTATTTGAAGAGGAGGCTTTATCGCTTCTAATTGAAGAAGGAGACCTCCATTGGTGATCACATGAACCACTACACGAAGATTCTTACGGATTTGACGAATGTAGATGTTATGATTGAAGATAAGGATAAGGCGTTGTTATTGTTGAGTTCATTGCCCGACAATGAATATAAGACATTCGTTCTTACTCTTATTAATGGAAAGACATCTCTTTCGTATAATGAGGTCACTGTTGCACTTGTGAATTATCAGCTTCGGAAGAAGGATAATGAGACTTCGATTGATACAGTAGCAGGGGCATTGGTCGCAAGAGGGAAGAGTCCAAATCGTAGTAGGAGATCACAGTCTAGAGTAGCACACCCTGCAGTTGGTAAGAATCAGTGTGTCTTTTGTAAAGAAGATGGACATTGGAAAACAGAATGCCCAAACTTGACAAATCGAGCCGGGAAGAATAAGGGGAAAGATATTCAAGCTTCAGAGGTGAATGTTGCCAAAGCTAGTGGCGAAAATTCAGATTCGGATTCTTTGGTCTACTCGTTATCTGCACTATCGTCAGTTTGTGTTGCCGATTCTACAGAGTGGATGTTGGATTCGAGTGCTTCTTACCATATTTGTCATATAAGGGATTGATTCTCCAGCTTTGATGAGTTAGAAAAAGGGGATATCGTGCTCATGAGTAATGATCATGAATACCCTATTGGTGGTATCTGTACCGTTTGTATTAGGATGTGTGACAGGGTGATTCAGGAGTTGGATGAAATGAGGTTTGTTCCGTAGTTGAAGAAGAACATTATTTCACTTGGAGTTTTGGAGGTAGCAGGCTATCGGGTGACCTTAGAGGATGCATATTTGAAGGTCATATTTGGGTCCATGATTGTGATGAAGGGTGTCAGAAAGAAGAATTTGTACTATTTGATTGGGAGCACGGTGATTGGTGGAGAGCTGACAACTTTTTTGGATTTAACTAGACTATGGTGTTTATTGATGCTGGGATATTTGATTGTTGATGTCATGCATGGATTGTTGATGAGTACTTTGACCTACAGATTGAAGTTCTGTGAGCATATTGGTATGAACAAGAAGACCGAGATGGAGTTTGGCACTTTTATTCACCGAGCGAAGGGTCTTTTAGGTGATGTTTATTTAGGCATTTGGGGGCCTTCCAAGGAGGCATCATTGGAAGATAA